CCCAGAACTCCCAGGAACCCCCAGAACCCACAGGGACTCCCAGGTACCCCCCCAGAGCCCCCAGGGACCCCCCAGAGCCCTCCAGGGACCCCTCCCAACCAGGGACCCCTCCCAAGCTCCCCCCAGCACCCTCAGGGACCCCTGAGAGCCCCTTAAGACGCCCCTAAACCGCCCCAGCCCCCTCAGGGATGCTCTAAATCCCACCCAACACCCCCCAGGACCCCCAAACACCCTCAGGACCCCCCAAACCCCCCTAAAGCCCCCAAGACCCCCCAGACCTGCTAGTGCTCCTTCTTGACCCAGAGCGCGACGGCCGCCTGAGGCAGGGGCTGCTCCAGGAACAGCATCCGCATCACCCCCGCCTGGGCCAGGCCTGGCAGCTCCCTGGGGGTTACAGGGAGGGTCAGCACCCCAAAAACACCCCTGAGACCCCCACCCCCAAAAACCCCCACACCCACCCCGACCCCAAAACCCCACACACATCAATCCCTGACCCCAAAAACCCCCAAAACCCACCCAGATCCACCCAACCCCTAATCCCAACCTGGGCCAGGCCTGGCAGCTCCTGGGTTACAGGGGGTCAGCACCCCAAACACCCCTGAGACCCCTGACCCCAAAACCCCCACACCCATCCCCGACCCCAAACCTCCCCAAAACCCACCCAGATCCCACCCAACCCCCTAATCCCAGCCTGGGCCAGGCCTGGCAGCTCCCTGGGGTTACAGGGGGTCAGCACCCCAAAACACCCTCTGAGACCCCGACCCCAAAACCCCCCACACCCATCCCCGACCCCAAAAACCCCACACACATCAATCCCTGACCCCCAAAAACCACCCCAAACATCCCCTAATCCCAACCTGGGCCAGGCCTGGCAGCTCCCTGGGGGCACAGGGGGTCAGCACCCCAAAAACACCCCTGAGACCCCCGACCCCAAAAACCTCCCACACCCATCCCTGACCCCAAACCACCCCAAAACCCACCCAGATCCCACCCAAGCCCCTAATCCCAACCTGGGCCAGGCCTGGCAGCTCCCTGGGGGTTACAGAGGGTCAGCACCCAAAAACACCCCCTGAGACCCCTGACCCCAAAAACCCCCAGACATCCACCCAAGACCCCAAAACCCCACACACATCAATCCCTGACCCCAAAGCCTCCCCAAAACCCACCCAGATCCCACCCAAATCCCCTAATCCCAACCTGGGCCAGGCCTGGCAGCTCCTGGGGGCACAGGGGTCAGCACCCAAAAACACCCTGAGACCCCGACCCCAAAAACCCCCACACCCACCCTGACCCCAAAACCCACACACATCAACCCTGACCCCAAAACCACCCCAAACATCCCCTAATCCCAACCTGGGCCAGGCCTGGCAGCTCCTGGGGGTTACAGAGGTCAGCACCCAAAACACCCCTGAGACCCCCGACCCCAAAAACCCCCCACAACCATCCCTCGACCCCAAAAACCACCCCAAAACCCACCCAGATCCCACCTAAATCCCCTCAATCCCAACCTGGGCCAGGCCTGGCAGCTCCCTGGGGGGTTACAGGAGTCAGCACCCAAAAACACCCCTGAGACCCCTGACCCCAAAAACCCCCCACATCCACCCAAGACCCCCAAAACCCCCAAAACCTCCCCCAAATCCACCTAAGCCCACCTGGGATCCCCCAAACCCCCTCCATGGGTGACATTGGGGGGGTCTGGGTGCCCTTGGGGGTCAGGGTGACATTTGGAGGTCAGGGTGCCCTGGGGGTCAGGGTGACATTGGGGGTCAGGGTGACATTGGGGGGGTCTGGGTGACACTGGGGGTCTCAGATTTTGGGGGTCTCACCTGAAGACGGCCAGGCAGGTGGCAGGGGGTGCCCATTGGGGGTCAGGCTGCTCATGGGGGTCAGGTGACATTGGGGGTCAGGGTGCCCTTTGGGGGTCAGAGGTGACATTGGGGGTCAGGGTGCCTATGGGGGGTCAGGGTGACACTGGGGGCCAGGGTGACACTGGGGGTCTCAGTGACTTTGGGGGTCTGCACCTGAAGACGGTCAGGTAGATGGCAGGGGGTGACCTTGGGGGTCAGGGGTGACATGGGGGGTCAGGGTGCCCATGGGGGTGTCAGGGTGCCCATGGGGGTCTCAGATTTTGGGGTCTCACCTGAAGATGGCCAGGCAGGTGGCAGGGGGTGCTCTTTGGGGGGTCAGGGGTGACATTGGGGAGCTCAGAGGTGACATTGGGGGGTCAGGGTGCCCATGGAGGGTCAGGCAGGTGCCCATGGGGGTGCCCAGGGGTGACATTGGGGGGTCAGGGTGCCCATAGGGGGTCAGGACCCCAGGGGGTCAGATTTTGGGGTCTCACCTGAAGACGGCCAGGCAGGTGGCAGGGGTGCCCTTTGGGGGTTGGGGTGCCCATTAGGGGGTCAGGATCCCAGGGGGTCAGATTTTGGGGTCTCACCTGAAAACAGCCAGGCAGGTGGCAGGGGGTGCCCATGGGGGGGTCAGGGTGACACTGGGGGTCTCAGATTTTGGGGTCTCACTGAAGACGGCCAGGCAGGTGGCAGGGGTGCCCTTTGGGGGCTGGGGTGCCCATAAGGGGTCAGGACCCCAGGGGGTCAGATTTTGGGGGTCTCACCTGAAAACGGCCAGGCAGGTGGCAGGGGGTGCCCTATGGGGGTCAGGGTGACATTGGGGGGTCAGGAGTGCCCATGGGGTCAGGTGACATTGGGGGTCTCAGATTTTGGGGTCTCACCTGAAGACAGCCAGGTAGGTGGCAGGGATGCCCTTGGAGGGTCAGGGTGCCCATGGGGGGCTCAGGGTGACATTGGGGGGTCAGGACCCCAGGGAGGCTCAGATTTTGGGGTCTCACTTGAAGACGGCCAGGCAGGTGGCAGGGGTGCCCTTTGGGGGTCAGGATGCCTGGGGGGGGTGCCCATGAGGGGGTCAGGGTGACATTGGGGGTCTCAGATTTTGGGGGTCTCACCTGAAGACGGCCAGGCAGGTGGCAGGGGGTGCCCATGGGGGTCAGGGGTGCCCATAGGGGGTCAGGGTGACACTAGGGGTCTCAGATTTTGGGGTCTCACCTGAAAACAGCCAGGCAGGTGGCAGGGTGCCCGTACAGCCGGTCCAGCACGGGGGGCTCAGCCCCCGCAGGAACTCGTGCAGGTTCTTGCACTGGAGCTGCCCCCGTTGCAGCCGCGGGGGTGGGGGGCCCGGCCTCCATCCTGGGGGAGGGTGGGGAGCCCCCAAAATCACCCCCAAAATCTTCACTCCCCTCCCAAAATCACCCCCAAAATCTTCACTTCCTCCCAAAATCACCCCCAAAAATCTTCCCTTTCCCCCAAAATCAACCCCTAAAAATCTTCACTTCCATCTCAAAATCAACCCCCCAAAAAATCTTCGTTTCGCTCCCAAAAATCAATACCTGGAAATGTTCTTTTCGCTCCCCAAAATCAGCCCCTAAAAATCTTCACTTTCCTCCCAAAATCAACCTTCCAAAAATCTCCCCTCGCCTCCCCAAATCAGACCCCAAAATCTTCACTTCCCTCCCCAAAATCACCCCCGAAAACCTTCCCTGCAAGCCCCAAAATCAAGCCCCAAAAATCTCTCTTCCCACCCCAAAATCAGACCCCAGAAATCTTCCTTCCTACCCCAAAATCAACCCCAAAAACCCTCCCTCCTCCCAAAACCAACCCCCAAAAACCTTCCCTCCCGCCCCAAAACCACCCCCAAAAACCTCTCCTTTGCAACCCCAAAATCCACGCCCCCCAAAATCTTCCGCCCCCTCCCCAAAATTCCCCTCCACGAGCGGAGGCCACGCCCCCTCTGTCCTCGTTTTTCCCGTCGTGCTCCGCGCGGGGCGGGGGGAGGGGACCCCAAAACAGACCACGCCCATCCCTCAGACCGCGCCCACCCACCGGACCACGCCCTAAATTAAGACTAATTAGATTTTACCTCTAATTGAACTAGCTGTTAGACCACGCCCCCTCCAACAAGACCACGCCCCCTGCAGGCGGAGGCCACGCCCCCTCCCGACCGAGGCCACGCCCACCACGGCCCCGAATCCGGTCCCGTGCATCCGGCCCCGCCCCCTTTGCGGTCACGTGTCCGTCCCGGTGCCCTCCCGGTACTCGGGGGGAACCCCTGGACCCTCCCCCCAAACCCCCCAAACCCCCCCAAACCTCCCCCAGACCACCCAAACCTCACCCGGACCTCCCCGACCCCCCCGATCTCCCCAAACCCCCTCAAACTCCCCCAATCCCCCACCCGGACCCCCAAAACCCTCCGGGACCCTTCCAAACCCCCTGCAGACCCCAAACCACTCCCGGATCCCCCAAGCCCCCAAACCCCCAAACCACCCAAACCTCCCCAAACCACCCAAACCTCCCCAGACCACCCCGATCTCCCCATACCCCCTCAAACTCCCCAACCCCCACCGGACCCCCAAAGACCCTCCCGGGACCCTCCAAACCCCCTCCAGACCCCCAAACCACCCTCGGATCCCCCAAACCCCCAAACCCCCAAACCACCCCCAGACCACCCCAGACCCCCAGACCCCCACGATCTCCCCAAACCCTCTTCAAACTCCCCAATCCCCACGGACTCCCCAAAACCTCCCCAGGACCTCCAAACCCTCCTCCAGACCCCCAAAACCACTCCCAGATCCCCCAAACCCCCTCAAACTCCCCCAAACCCCCTCACACTCCCCCAACCCCACGGACCCCCCTCAACCCCCCAAACCCCCCGGACCTCCAAACCACCCTGCAGACCCCCCAAAACCATCCCAGATCCCCTAAACCCCCTCACTCCCACCACCCCCAGAACCCCCGGACCTCCCCCAAATCACCCCCAGACCCTCTCGGAACTCCCCCCCAAAACCACCCCAGACCTCCAAAACCCCCTCAACCATCCCGGACCCCCAAATCCCCCGGACTCCCCAAACCCCCAGACCCTCTCGGAACTCCCAACCCCTCCCAGCCAAAACCACCCCAGACCCCCAAACCACCCCCAAACCCCTCCCCCCCAAATGACGCCCCCGCCCTGTCCCGCCGTCTCCCCGGGTTTTTGGGGGTCCGGGAGTCCCGATCCAGGTCCGGCGCCGGGACCCCCAGGGACCCCCGGTGTGGACCCCCAAGCGCGCGAGGCTGCGGGGAAGGAGGAGGCGGGACAGGAGGAGGAGGAGGAGGATGGAGAGGGAGGGGCAGGTGGGACTGGGGGCACTGGGAGGGACTGGGAGGCACTGGGAGGACTGGGATGGGGGCAGGTGGGACTGGGACACTGGGAGGACTGGGAGGCACTGGGATGGTGGGGCACTGGGAGGGACTGGGACTGGGGGGCACTGGTGAGACTGGGAGGAACTGGGATGGATTGGGGACACTGGGAGAGAGAGGCAGTGGGACTGGGGAACTGGGAGGACTGGGAGGACTGGGATGATTGAGGACACTGGAGAGAGGGGACAGGTGGGACTGGGGACACTGGGAGGACTGAGATGCGGACTGGGATGGAGTGGGATGGACTAGGGGAGGACTAGGGGCATGGACTAGGATGGAGCACTGGGATGGACTGGGGACTGGAGCACTGGGAGAGAGGGGACTAGGTGGGACTGGGGACACTGGGAGGGACTGGGATGGCACTGGAGATGGGGGCACTGGGATGGGGCACTGGGATGGACTGGGGGCACTGGGATGGGACAGGTGGGACTGGGGACAGGATGGACTGGGATGGACTGGGATGGACTAGGATGGAGACTGGGAGAAGGGTACTGGGATGGACTGGGAGGACTGGGAGGCACTGGGATGGACTGAGGGACTGGGGGACTGGGAGACACTGGAGGGACTAGGAGGGACTGGGATGGAGTGGAGGACTGGGACGGACTGGAGGGACTGGGATGGACTGGAGACACTGGGAGGGACTGGGATGGACTGGTACAGACTGGGATGGATTGGGAGGGACTGGGATGGACTGGAGGGATTGGGGTGGACTGGAGACACTGGGATGGACTGGGACGGACTGGACTGGGACAGACTGGGGGGACTGGGATGGACTGGAGACACTGGGAGGACTGGGGGGACTGGGAGGCGCTGTGGGGTCTGGGAGGGACTGGGATGGAGTGGAGGGACTGGGATGGACTGGGAGGACTGGGATGGACTGGACTGGAATGGACTGGAGACACTGGGAGGATTGGGAGGGACTGGAATGGACTGGGGGGACTGGGAGGGACTGGGGGGGACTGGGATGGACTGGAGACACTGGGAGGACTGGGATGGACTGGGATGAACTGGAGACACTGGGAGGACTGGGATGGACTGGGGGGACTGGGATGGATTGGGGGGACTGGGATGGACTGGACTGGGACGGACTGGAGGGACTGGGATGGACTGGAGACACTGGGAGGACTAGGGGTACTGGGGTGGACTGGGAGGGATTGGTATGGACTGGGAGGGACTGGGATGGACTGGGAGGGACTGCGATGGACTGGTACAGACTGGAATGGATTGGGGGGACTGGGACAGAGAGAGGGAGGCAGGTGGGATCGGGGGGGGGATCATTGCTGTGTACTGGTCCGTACTGGTCCGTACTGGTGTGGCAGCCCCCCCAGGTGCCCCCCAGAGCCCCCCCCAAGGGCTGGGCCCCCCAGGCTGAGGTGGAATATCTGCACCCCCTGCACCCCGACGGCAAGAAAGGTGATGGGGTGGGATTTGGGGGGTCCTGGGTGGGATTTGGGGGACCCTGGGGAAGTTTGGGGAGTCCTGGGGGAATTTGGGGTCCCTGGGGAGTTTGGGAGTCCCTGGGGGGATTTGGGTGGACCTGGAGGGGTTTGGAGGTCCTGGAGGGATTTGGGGCTCCTGGAGGGTTTGGGGTCCTGGGTGGGATTTGGGGTCCTAGGTGGGATTTGGGGGTCCTGAGGGAGTTTGGGGTCCTGGGGAGGATTTGGGTGGTCCTGGAGGGGATTTGGGGTCCTAGGTGGGATTTGGGGGTCCCTGGGTGGGATTTGCGTGGTCCTGGAGGGGGTTTGGGGGTCCTGGGGAGTTTGGGGGCTGGGGATTTGGGGGTCCTGGAGGGGCTTTGGGGGTCCTGGAGGGATTTGGGGAATTTAGGGGAGGTTTAGGGGTCCTAGAAGGGGTTTGGGGGCTCCTTGAGAGCTCTGGGGGGTCCTGGAAAGATTTTAGGGGGTCCTGGGGAGATTTAGGGGAATTTGGGGGGGGGATTTAGGAGGTCCCGGGGAGGATTTGGGGGCTCCTTGGGAGGTTTGGGAGGGTCCTGGGGGGATTTGGGGGGAGTTTGAGGGGTCCTGGAGGGGTTTGGGACTTTGGGGGGATTTTGGGGGGTCCCAGCACCCCCTCCAAGTTAATTTTTGGTGTTGGGGGGGTCCCAGCCACGGGGGTCCCGTTGCCCCCCACCTACAGCCCCCGGTACGTGGAGGCCGCCTGGTACCAGTGGTGGGAGAGGGGAGGGGTCTTCAAACCCCCCGAGCAGGTGAGAAGTGTGGGGGGGGGTAGAATATTCTCTTATTTCCAGTTTTTAATTTTTTATTTTGATTTTTAATTTTATTTATTTATTTATTTGTTTATATTTTTTATTCACGTTAGTTAAATTATATTTAATTTTTATTTTTATTTTTATTTATATTTTGTTTTATTTATTCAAAACATTCTTAGGCTTTAAAATTATTGGGGGGATAAAAAAATGTGAATTTAGAAGAGGTAAACGTTTATTTCGGGCGGCTAAAAATCCACATTTTTGGAGGCTCAAAAATGAGGGTTTTTTTTTTGAGAATTTTACTTTTTGGCAGTAAACGTAATTTTTGGGGTGGAAAAATATTTGGAGGGGGTTTAAAATATACCTGGGGGAGGGGAGGGTTGGAAATATTTGGGGTGATAAAAATAAAATAACGTGGGTTTTGGTGAGTAATTTTTTTGTTGGGAGGGTGTTAAAATTTGTTCAAGGAGGGGGTTTAAAATGGATTTTGGGGGGACTGAAAATATTTTGGGGGGTAAAACACAAATTTGGGGGTTAAAAATATTTGGGGCTTAAAAATATCTGAGGGGTAGAAAGCGATTTTAGGGAGGGATTTAAAATTCATTTTGGGGGCAAAAAACCCCCAATGGGGGGTTAAAAATTTCGGAGGGGGGCCAAAAATCAAATTTGGGGGTCAAATCGATTTGGGGGTGTTAAATAGATTTGGGGGGATTAAATAGATTTGGGGGCTTTAAATTGATCTGGGGGTTCAAGTGGATTTGGGGGGTCAAGTGGATTTGGGGGGTCAATCTCGCCCTCCCACCAGGAGGAGCCGGGGGCCCCCGTGCTGAGCCTGGTGCTGCCCCCAACGTCACCGGGACCCTCCACCTGGGCCACGCCCTGGGGTCTCCTGCAGGACGTGCTCGTCAGATGGTACCGGGAGGGGGTCTTGGGGGGTCCTGGGAGGGGATCTGGGGGTCTGGAGGGATTTGGGGGATTTGGGGTGAAATTGGGGGATTTGGGGGAGTCCTGGAGGGGTTTGGGGGTCTGGAGGATTTGGGGTGAAAGTGGGGGGATTTGGGGGTCTGGAGGGGATTTGGGGTGAAACTGGGGGATTTGGGGGAGTCCTGGAGGAGTTTGGGGGTCTGGAGGGTTTGGGGGGATTTGGGGGTCTGGAGGGATTTGGGTGAAATTGGGGTGGATTTGGGGGGTCTGGAGGAGATTTGGGGTGAAATGGGGGGATTTGGGGTGAAACTGGGGGATTTGGGGGAGTCCTGGAGGGATTTGGGGGTCCTGGGGGGTTTTGGGGGTTCTGGAGGGATTTGGGGGTCTGGAGGGGATTTGGGGGTTTTGGGGGGTGTTTGGGTGGGGGTCTCCTGCAGGACGTGCTCGTCAGATGGTACCGGGGGGTCTTGGGGGGTCCTGGGAGGGATTTGGGGGTCTGGAGGAGATTTGGGGTGAAATTGGGGGGATTTGGGGGAGTCTGGAGGGATGTGGGGGGTTTGGGGGGTGTTAGGGTGGGGTCTCCTGCAGGACGGCTCAGATGGTACCGGGGGTTGGGGGGGTCTTGGGGGGCTCCTGGGAGGGATCTGGGGGTCTGGAGGATTTGGGGTGAAAGTGGGGGGATTTGGGGGAGTCTTGGAGAGATTTGGGGGTCCTGGAGGGATTTGGGGGGGTTTTGGGGGATTTGGGGTCTCCTGCAGGGCGTGCTCGTCAGATGGTACCGGGGGGTCTTGGGGGGGTCCTGGGAGGGATCTGAGGGGTCTGGAGGGGGTTTGGGGGAAATTGGGGGGATTTGGGGGGTCTGGAGGGGATTTGGGGGGGTTTGGGGGGGTGTTAGGGTGGGGTCTCCCTGCAGGGCGTGCTCGTCAGATGGTACGGGGATGGGGGGGTCTTGGGGGGTCCTGGGAGGGGATCTGGGGGTCTGGAGGGATTTGGGGTGAAATTGGGGGGGATTTGGGGGGAGTCCTGGAGGAATTTGGGGGTTCTGGAGGGATTTGGGGGTCCTGGGGGGTTTTGGGGGGTCCAGGGGGTCTGAGTGTCCCCCCAGGAGGAGGATGCAGGGCTGGAGTGTCCTGTGGGTCCCTGGCACCGACCACGCCGGCATCGCCACCCAGGTACGGCCCAGGGTCCCCAAACACCCCAGGGTCCCCAAACACCCCAAGGTCCCCAAACACCCCCAATGTCCCCAAACACCCCCAATGTCCCCAGTGATGTCCCCGATGTCCCCAAACACCCCCAGTGTCCCCAAACACCCCTCAATGTCCCCAAACACCCCCAGTGTCCCCAAACAGCCCCCCAGTGTCCCCAAACACCCCTCAATGTCCCCAAACACCCCCCAGTGTCCCCAAACACCCCTCAATGTCCCCAAACACCCCCTCAGTGTCCCCAAACACCCCTCAATGTCCCCAAACACCCCCAGTGTCCCCAAACACCCCCCAATGTCCCCAAACACCCCCCCAGTGTCCCCAAACAGCCCCCCAATGTCCCCAATGATGTCCCCAATGTCCCTTTGGTGTCCCCAATGTCCCCAGGCTGTCGTGGAGCGCTGGCTGTGGCTCCAATGATGTCCCCAATGATGTCCCCAATGTCCCTTTGGTGTCCCCAATGTCCCTTTGGTGTCCCCAATGTCCCCAATGATGTCCCCAATGATGTCCCACTGTCCCCAATGATGTCCCCAATGTCCCTTTGGTGTCCCCAATGTCCCTTTGGTGTCCCCAATGATGTTCCCAATGATGTCCCCAATGATGTCCCCAATGTCCCTTTGGTGTCCCCAATGATGTCCCCAATGATGTCCCCAATGATGTCCCCAATGTCCCTTTGGTGTCCCTAATGTCCCAATGTCCCACTGTCCCCAATGATGTCCCCAATGTCCCTTTGGTGTCCCCAATGTCCCCAATGTCCCTTTGGTGTCTCCAATGTCCCTTTGGTGTCCCCAATGATGTCCCAATGTCCCCAATGATGTCCCACTGTCCCCAATGTCCCCAATGATGTCCCCAATGTCCCTTTGGTGTCCCCAGTGATGTCCCCAATGATGTCCCCAATGTCCCTTTGGTGTCCCCAATGATGTCCCCAATGTCCCTTTGGTGTCCCCAATGTCCCTTTGGTGTCTCCAGGCTGTCGTGGAGCGCTGGCTGTGGCTCCAATGCTGTCCCCAATGATGTCCCCAATGTCCCTTTGATGTCCCCAATGTCCCCAATGATGTCCCCAATGTCCCCAATGATGTCCCCAATGTCCCTTTGGTGTCCCCAATGATGTCCCCAATGTCCCTTTGGTGTCCCCAATGTCCCTTTGATGTCCCCAATGATGTCCCCAATGTCCCCAATGATGTCCCCAATGTCCCCAGGCCGTCGTGGAGCGCTGGCTGTGGCTCCAGTGATGTCCCCAATGATGTCCCCAATGATGTCCCTAATGTCCCTTTGGTGTCCCCAATGTCCCTTTGATGTCCCCAATGATGTTCCGATGTCCCCAATGATGTCCCCAATGTCCCTTTGGTGTCCCCAATGTCCCTTTGGTGTCCCCAATGATGTCCCCAATGTCCCTTTGGTGTCCCCAATGATGTCCCACTGTCCCCAATGATGTCCCCAATGTCCCCAGGCCATCGTGGAGCTCTGGCTGTGGCTCCAATGATGTCCCCAATGATGTCCCCAATGTCCCTTTGGTGTCCCCAGGCCGTCGTGGAGCGCTGGTTGTGGCTCCAGCGGGGGCTGCGCCGGCAGGACCTGAGCCGGGAGCAGTTCCTGGATGAGGTTTGGGCCTGGAAACGCCGGTGAGGGGACACTGGGGACACTGGGGGGATACTGGGGGACACTGGGGGGACACTGGGGGGACACTGGGGGACATTGGGGGGACATTGGGGGGACACTGGGGGGGACACTGGGGACACTGGGACGTTGTGGGGACACTGACTGGGGGGACACTGGGGGACACTGGGGACATTGGGGGATAATGGGGGGAGACTGGGGGGGACACTGGGGACACTGGGAGCATTGGGGGACATTGGGGACACTGGGGGTACACTGGGGGACATTGGGGACATTGGGGGACACTGGTGAGATACTGGGAACACTGGGGACACACTGGGGACATTGGGGACACTGGGGACATTGGGGGACACTGAGGGACATTGGGAGACACTGGGGACATTGGGGACACTGGGGACATTGGGGGACACTGGGGAGACACTGAGGGGACACTGGGGACACTGGGGGACACTGGGGAGACACTGGGGACATTGGGGGACACTGGGGGACACTGGGGGACACTGGGGGGACACTGGGGACACTGGGAGACATTGGGGACACTGGGGACACTGGAGACAGTGAGGGGACACTGGGGACACTGGGGATGGAGGGGACATTGGGGACATTGGGAGACACTGAGGGGACACTGGGGTGACACTGGGGGGACACTGGGGACAGTGGGGACATGGGGACATTGGGGATGGGAGACACTGGGGTATACTGGGGATAGTGGCTGGGGACACTGGGGACATGGGGACACTGGGGGACACTGGGGGAGACACTGGGGTATACTGGGGATAGTGGGGGGACATTGGGGACATTGGGGACACTGGGGACACTGGGGGACACTGGGGACATTGAGAGGACATTGGGGGGACACTGGGGACAGTGAGGGACATGGAGGGGGTGGGGGAGGGGACATGAGGGGACGTGGAGGGGACACAAGGGTGGAGTGGGGGGATTTGGGGGGACACTTTGGTGACCCAGGGGGGTGACCCAGGGGGGTGACCCAGGGGTGACCCAGGTGGGTGGCCCAGGGTGACAGGAATGTCCCCTGTCCCTCCCTCCCCAGCCACGGGGACGAGATCCTGGAGCAGCTCCGGGCTCTGGGGGCCTCCCTGGACTGGAGCCGCTGTGCCTTCACCATGGACCCCGTGAGTGCCACCAGCTGTCCCCAAGGGTCCCCCGGGTGGCACCTCCTGTCCCCTGAGGTGTCCCCAAGTGTCCCCTGTGCGTCCCCAGGGCTTCTCCCGGGCCGTGTCCGAGGCCTTCGTGCGCCTGTTCCGCTCGGGGCTGATCCGCAGGGAGCGGAGACTCGTCAGCTGGAGCTGCGCCCTGCGCTCCGCCGTGGCCGACATCGAGGTCTGGGGGGTCCCCAGGGTCCCCAAATGTCCCCAAACGGCCCCAAAGCGTCCCCAAAGTGGAAACCGCCCCCAACTGTCCCCTGACTGTCCCCAGCTGTCCCCAGGGTGTCCCCATGGGTCCCTGAGCCGTGTCCCCGCAGGTGGAGCCGTGGGCACTGGTGGGTGCCACGGTGCTGAGTGTCCCCAGGGTGTCCCCAGGGTGTCCCCAGGGTGTCCCCAGCTGTCCCCAGGGTGTCCCCAGGGTGTCCCTGAGCCCTGTCCCCGCAGGTGGAGCCGCGGGTGCTGACGGGTCCCACCGTGCTGAGTGTCCCTGGCTGTCCCCTGACTGTCCCCAGGGTGTCCCCAGGGTGTCCCCAACTGTCCCCAGCTGTCCCCAGCTGTCCCTGAGCCCTGTCCCTGCAGGTGGAGCCGCGGGTGCTGACGGGTCCCACCGTGCTGAGTGTCCCTGGCTGTTCCCAGCCCGTCACCTTCGGCCTCCTCGTCACCTTCACCTACCCCGTGGAGGGGGATGACGGTGGGTGGCCTTGGGGACACCCCAGGGGTGGCCCCTGTGTCACTTTGGGCCTCCTGTGCCACCTCAGGTGGCCTCAGGGCCACCCTGGGGGTGGCCCTGGGTGGCGTCAGGTCCTCTGTGTCACCTCAGGTGGCCTCGGGGACACCCTGGGGGTGGCCCTGGGTGGCATCAGGTCCTCTGTGTCACCTCAGGTGGCCTCGGGGACACCCTGGGGGTGGCCCTGGGTGGCATCAGGTCCTCTGTGTCACCTCAGGTGGCCTTGGGGACACCCTGGGGGTGGTTCTGGGTGGCATCAGGTCCTCTGTGCCACCTCAGGTGGCTCTGGGTCACTTCTCTGAAGGGGGGATGGTGGGTGGCCCTGAGGACACCGTGGGTGGTGGCATCAGGGGCCCCCTGTGTCACCTCGGGGTGGCCCTGGGTCACCTCGGGTCCCCCCCATGTCCCAAAGTGTCCCCAATGTCCTTGAGATGTCCCCAAGTGTCTCTGAGTGTCCCCAATGTCCCTGAGTGTCCCCAATGTCCCCAAGGTGTCCCCAAGTGTCTCCAGTGTCCCCAAGTGTCCCCAGTGTCCCCAAGGTGTCCCTGAGTGTCCCCAATGTCCCTGAGGTGTCCCCAATGTCCCTGAGGGTTCCCCAATGTCCCCAAGTGTCCCCAAATGTCCCCAAGTGTCCCCAAGGTGTCCCTGAGTGTTCCCAATGTTCCCGAGGTGTCCCCAAGTGTCCCCAAATGTCCCCAAGTGTCTCCAATGTCCCCAAGGTGTCCCCAAGTGTTCCCAATGTCCCTGAGGTGTCCCCAATGTCCCCAAGGTGTCCCGTGTCACCTCAGGTCCCCCCCATGTCCCTCGCTGTCCCCAATTGTCCCCACTGTCCCTGAGTGTCCCCAAATGTCCCCAAATGTCCCCAATGTCCCAAAGTGTCCCCACTGTCCCTGAGGTGTCCCCAAGTGCCCCCAAGGTGTCCCTGAGTGTCCCCAGTTGTCCCAAAATGTCCCCAAGTGTCCCCAATGTCCCCAAGGTGTCCCTGAGTGTCCCCAATGTCCCTGAGGTGTCCCCAATTGTCCCCAAGTGTCTCCAAGGTGTCCCTGAGTGTCCCCAATTGTCCCCACTGTCTCTGAGGTGTCCCTGAGGTGTCCCCAATGTCCTTGAGTGTCCCCAACGTCCCCAAACTGTCCCCAATTGTCCCAAAGTGTCCCCAACATCCCTGAGTGTCCCCAATGTCCCTGAGTGTCCCCAATGTCCCCGAGTGTCTCCAACGTCCCCGAGATGTCCCCAAGGTGTCCCCAAGTGTCCCCAAATGTCCCCACTGTCCCTGAGGTGTCCTCGAGTGTCCCTAAGTGTCCCTGAGTGTCCCCAAATGTCCCCAAGTGTCCCCAAGGTGTTCCTGAGTGTCCCCAATGTCCCTGAGTGTCCCCAATGTCCCAAAGTGTCCCCAATGTCCCAAAGTGTCCCCACTGTCTATGAGGTGTCCCTGAGATGTCCCCAAGTGTCCCCAAGTGCCCCAAAATGTCCCCAATGTTCCCAAGTGTCCCCTGCCCGTGTCCCCCCAGGGCTGGAGGTGCCGGTGGCCACCACCCGGCCCGAGACCCTGTTTGGGGACGTGGCCGTGGCCGTTCACCCGCGGGACCCCCGATACGCGGTGAGGGGGCGGGGCCTGTGGGGGGCGTGGCCTGGGTGGGTGTGGCCTGAATGGGTGTGGTCTCAATGGGTGTGGTCTCGATGGGTGTGGCCTCAATGGGTGTGGTCTCAATGGGTGTGGTCTCGATGGGTGTGGCCTCAATGGGTGTGGTCTCAATGGGTGTGGTCTCAGTGGGTGTGGTCTCAATGGGTGTGGCCCGGAAGGGGAGGGGCTGGAGGAAGGGAAATGGGTGTGGCTTTGGGGGGCGTGGCCAATGGAAGGGGCGGCGCCTTTCTGGCCTGGAGAACTCGCACCGATTGGTTGGTGTTGGCTCCGCCCCTCCAAGGGGGCGGGGCTTCCCCAGAACCGCCTTTAAAGGGCTGGCCCGTGGTGGGCGGGGCCTGGGCTGGGGTGGGCGGGGTTTGTGGAGTGGGGGGCGTGGTCAGAGCGGGCTCCGCCCTCTCCCAGCACCTCCACGGGCGCCGCCTCCGCCACCCCTTTACTGGGAGGGTCCTGCCCCTCGTCACCGACCCCAGCGTGGACCCCAACATGGGCACCGGTACCGGGACTGGGGAGACTGGGAGAGGGACTGGGGGCACTGGGAGAGGGGCTGAGGGAGACTGGGGGGCATTGGGAGAGGGATGGGAGGCACTGGGAGAGGGGCTGACGGGGAGACTGGGGGGCACTGGGAGAGCAGGATGGACTGGGAGAGGGGCTGAGGGAGAGGGGTACTGGGAGAGACTGGGAGATGGGGGCACTGGGAGAGGGACTGGAGGAACTGGGAGAGGGGCTGAGGGAGACTGGGGGCACTAGGAGGGACTGGGAGAGGGATGGGAGGCACTGGGAGAGGGGTAGAGGGGGACTGGGAGAGGGACTGGGAGAGGGACTGGGAGGGAACTGGGACTGATACGGGACTGGGGGTGGGGTGGGGGTGTCCCTGTGGGTGACAGGAGGTGGCAGGGGGTGACACTGGGATGGCTGTGAGTTACACTGGGTGACACTGGGATGGCAGTGGGTGACACTGGGGTGGCTGTGGGTGACACTGGGGTGGCTGTGTGTGACACTGGGTGACACTGGGATGACTGTGGGTGACACTGGGGTGGCTGTGGGTGGCACTGGGGTGGCTGTGTGTGACACTGGGTGACACTGGGATGACTGTGGGTGACACTGGGGTGGCAGTGGGTGGCACTGGGATGGCTGTGGGTGATGCTGGGCTGGCTGTGGGTGGCACTGGGTGACACTGGGGTGGCTGTGGGTGACAGGAGGTGGCAGGGGGTGACACTGGGATGGCTGTGGGTGACACTGGGTGACACTGGGATGGCAGGGGTGACACTGGGATGGCTGTGGGTGACAGGAGGTGACACTGGGTGACACTGGGATGGCTGTGGGTGACACTGGGCTGGCTGTGGGTGACACTGGGATGGCTGTGGGTGGCTCTGGGTGACACTGGGTGACACTGGGGTGGCTGTGGGTGACAGGAGGTGGCAGGGGGTGACATTGGGGTGGCTGTGGGTGACAGGAGGTGGCAGGGGGTGACCCAGGCGTGTCCCCAGGGGCAGTGAAGGTGACCCCAGGGCACAGTGCCCAGGACCTGGCCCTGGCCCGGGCCCAGGGGCTGCCCCTGCTCTCCGTCATCGCTGACGACGGCACCCTCTGCCCCCCGGGGGGGGGGTGGCTGCAGGTACGGCCCCAAAGTGTCCCCAAAGTGTCCCCAGAGTGTCCCCAGAGTGTCCCCAGAGTGTACCCAAAGTGTCCCCTGTCACACTCTCTGCCCCCTTTGGGGGGGGGTGGCTGCAGGTACAACCCCAAACTGTCCCCAAAGTGTCGCCTTGCTGTCCCTCTGTCCCCCTGTGTCCCCTGCTGTCCCTGTGTCCCCAGGATGTCCCCCTGTCCCCCTGCTGTCCCCTGATGTCCCTGTGTCCCCAGAGTGTCCCCCTGGTGTCCCCCCGATGTCCCTTTGTCCCCAGGGTGTCCCCCTGTCCCCCTGCTGTCCCCTGATGTCCCTGTGTCCCCAGGGTGTCCCCCTGCTGTCCCCCTATCCCCAGGGTGTCCCCTGCTGTCCCTGTGTTCCCAGGGTGTCCCCCTGCTGTCCCTGCTGTCCCCTGATGTCCCTGTGTCCCCAGGGTGTCCCCTGCTGTCCCTGCTGTCCCCTGTGTCCCCAGGATGTCCCCCTGCTGTCCCCTGATGTCCCTGTGTCCCCAGGGTGTCCCCTCCTGTCCCCTGCTGTCCCCTGATGTCCCTGTGTCCCCAGGGTGTCCCCTTGCTGTCCCCTGATGTCCCTGTGTCCCCAGGATGTCCCCCTGATGTCCCTGTGTCCCCAGGGTGTCCCCCTACTGTCCCCTGATGTCCCTGATGTCCCTGTGTCCCCCTGATGTCCCTCTGTCCCCAGGGTGTCCCCTGATGTCCCCCTGTCCCCAGGATGTCCCCCTGTGTCCCCTGATGTCCCTTTGTCCCCAGGGTGTCCCCCTGTGTCCCCCTGTCCCCAGGGTGTCCCCCTGATGTCCCTTGCTGTCCCCTGATGTCCCTGTGTCCCCAGGGTGTCCCCCTGCTGTCCCCTGATGTCCCCCTGTCCCCAGGGTGTCCCCCTGTGTCCCCCTGCCCCCAGGATGTCCCCCTACTGTCCCCCTGCTGTCCCTCTGTCCCCAGGGTGTCCCCCTGTCTCTGTGCTGTCCCTTGCTGTCCCCCTGATGTCCCTGTGTCCCCCTGCTGTCCCCTGATGTCCCCCTGTCCCCAGGGTGTCCCCCTGATGTCCCTGTGTCCCCAGGGTGTCCCCCTGTTGTCCCCTGATGTCCCCTGTGTCCCCAGGGTGTCCCCCTGTGTCCCTGCTGTCCCCTGATGTCCCTGATGTCCCCAGGGTGTCCCCCTGCTGTCCCCTGATGTCCCTCTGCCCCCAGGATGTCCCCCTGCTGTCCCTCCTGTCCCCTGCTGTCCCCCTGCCCCCAGGGTGTCCCCCTGTCCCTAGGATGTCCCCCTGATGTCCCTGTGTCCCCAGGGTGTCCCCCTGATGTCCCCTGATGTCCCTGCTGTCCCCTGATGTCCCCCTGTCCCCAGGATGTCCCCCTGTGTCCCCCTGTCCCCAGGGTGTCCCCCTGATGTCCCTGTGTCCCCAGGGTGTCCCCCTGTGTCCCCCTGCCCCCAGGGTGTCCCCCTGATGTCCCCTGATGTCCCTGCTGTCCCCTGATGTCCCTGATGTCCCCAGGGTGTCCCCCTGATGTCCCCTGCTGTCCCCTGATGTCCCTGTGTCCCCAGGGTGTCCCCCTGATGTCCCTGTGTCCCCCTGCTGTCCCCTGATGTCCCTCTGCCCCCAGGATGTCCCCCTGCTGTCCCTCCTGTCCCCTGCTGTCCCCCTGCCCCCAGGGTGTCCCCCTGTCCCCAGGATGTCCCCCTGTCCCCAGGATGTCCCCTTGCTGTCCCCTGCTGTCCCTGCTGTCCCCTGCTGTCCCTGTGTCCCCAGGGTGTCCCCCTGATGTCCCCCTGTCCCCAGGATGTCCCCCTGTGTCCCCTGATGTCCCTCTATCCCCAGGGTGTTCCCCGGTTCGAGGCTCGCCCTCAGGTGGTGGCAGCTCTGGCCCAGCGGGGGCTGTTCCGGGGGGTCCAGGACCACGCCATGACCCTCCCCCTCTGCAGGTACCCGCTGTCCCCTCCCCCCCATGGCCCAGAGTGTCCCCAGAGTGTCCCCAGAGTGTCCCCAGAGTGTTCCTGGATGTCCCCAACTGTCCCCAGGTGTCCCCAAGTGTCCTTAAAGTGTCACCAAACCACAGCAAACCCACCTGAAACCACCATGAACGCTCCTAGAAATGCCCCAAACGCCCCCAAAGTGTCCCCAAAGTGTCCCCAAACCCTCCCCAAAGTGTCCCCAACTGTCCCCAAAGAGTCCCCAACTGTCCCCAGGTGTCCCCAAGTATCTCCAGGTGTCCCCAGGTGTCCTCAAAGTGTCCCCAGGTGTCCTTAAAGTGTCACCAAACCACAGCAAACCCACCTGAAACCACCATGAACGCTCCTAGAAATGCCCCAAACGCCCCCAAAGTGTCCCCAAAGTGTCCCCAAAGTGTCCCCAACTGTCCCCAGGTGTCCCCAAGTATCTCCAGATATCTCCAAGTGTCCCCAGGTGTCCTTAAAGTGCCACTAAACAGGAGCAAAGCCCCCAGAGCCACCCTGAACGCTCCTGGAAACGCCCCAAACGCCCCCAAAGTGCCCCCAAAGTGTCCCCAAAGTGTCCCCAATGTCCCCAATGCCCCCCCTGTCCCCTCCCAGCCGCTCTGGGGACGTGGTGGAGCAGCTGCTGAAGCCGCAGTGGTTCCTGAGCTGTGGGGAGATGGCCCAGAAGGCCCTGCAGGTGAGGGGGGTCCCTGGGGGTCCCTGGGGGTTGGGGACACGCCTGGGGTGTCACCTGTGCCCTGTGTCCCCTCCCCACCCAGGCAGTGACATCAGGGAGGCTCCAGTTGGTCCCCAAATTCCACGAGAAGAACTGGAAGACCTGGATGGAGAATGTGGGGTGAGGGGGGCAAAAAGGGGGGCTCAGGTGATTTGGGGGGGTTCAGGTGATTTTGGGGGTCCCAGGTGATGGGGAGGGCCAAAGAGGGGGTCCCAGGTGATTTTGGGGGTCCTAGGTGAGAGGAGGGGGCAAAAGGGGGGTCCCAGGTGATTTTGGGGGTCCCAGGTGATGGGGGTCTCAGGGAGGGGGTCTCAGGTGATTTGGGTGGGGGTCCCAGGTGATTTTGGGGGTCCCAGGTTATGGGGAGGGCAAGGGGGGTCCCAGATGATTTTGGGGGTTCAGGTGATTTTGGGGGTCCCAGGTGAGAGGAGGGGGCAAAAGGGGGTCCCAGGTGATTTTGGGGGGTTCAGGTGATGGGGAGGGCCAAAGGAGGGGTCCCAGGTGATTTTGGGGTCCCAGGTAATGGGGAGGGCCAAAAGGGGGGTCCCAGGTGATTTTGGGGGTCCCAGGTGATTTTTGAGGGGTCCCAGGTGAGAGGAGGGGGCAAAAGGGGGGTCCCAGATGATTTTGGGGATCCCAGGTAATGGGGAGGGCAAAAGGGGGGTCTCAGGTGATTTTGGGGGTCCCAGGTGATTTTGGGGTCCCAGGTGATGGGGGGTCTCAGGGAGGGGCTCTCAGGTGATTTTGGGTGGGGGTTCAGGTGTCCAGAGAGGGGGTCCCACATATCCAGGGGGGCTCTCCAGGTACCTGGGGTGGGGGGGGGTGTCTCCAGGTATCCAAGGGCATTCCCAGGAAAGGGGGTTCCCACCCATCTGGAGTTCCCCAGGTGTCTTGGGGGGGTGTCCCCCCCATATCTGGGGGTCCCCCTGACCCCCCCTTCTGTCCCCCCATCCCAGGGACTGGTGCCTGTCCCGGCAGCTCTGGTGGGGCCACCAAATCCCGGCCTACCAAGCGCTGGGGGAGCCCCCCGGGGGTCCTGGCGGGCCCTGGGACCCCCCTGAAGGTGAAGGTGAGGGGGGGTCCCCCGGGGAGCCCCCCCAGGAGGGTCCCTGGTTCGTGGGGTGCAGCGAGGACGAGGCTCGAGCGGCGGCGGCCGAGGCGCTGCAGAGACCCCCCGAGAGCATCGTCCTGAGGAGGGGTGAGAGACCCCAAAAACACCCCAAAATAACCCCAAAAGCACCCCAGAATAACCCCAAAAACACCCCCAAAAACACCCCAAAATAACCCAAAATAACCCCAGAATAGTTCCAAAAACACCCCAAAATAACTCCCAAAAACACCCCAAAATAACCCCCAAAACGTTTCCAAAATAACCCCCAAAAACACCCCAAAATAACCCCCAAAACGTTTCCAAAATAACCCCCAAAACCACCCCAAAATAACCCCAAAATAACCCCCAAAACACCCCAAAATAACCCCAAAAACACCCCAAAATAACCCCCCGAGAGCATCGTCCTCAGGAGGGGTGAGAGACCCCAAAAACACCCCAAAATAACCCCAGAATAACCCCCAAAACATTTCCAAAATAACCCCAAAATAACCCCAAAACCACCCCAAAATAACCCCAAATAACCCCAAAATAACCCCCAAAACCACCCCAAAACACCCCAAAATAACCCCCAAAAACACCCCAAAAACACCCCAAAATACCCCCAAAACACCCCAAAATAACCCAAAAATAACCCCAAAGAAACCCCAAAATAACCCCAAAATAACCCCCCGAGAGCATCGTCCTGAGGAGGGGTGAGAGACCCCAAAAACACCCCAAAATAACCCCAAAATAACCCCCAAAACACCCCAGAATAGCCCCAAAAACACCCCAAAATAACCCCCAAAAACACCCCAAAATAACCCCCAAAAACACCCCAAAATAACTCCCAAAACGTTTCCAAAATAACCTCCCAAAACACCCCCAAAATAATCCCAAAATAATCCCAAAATAACCCCCAAAACCACCCCAAAATAACCCCAAAATAACCCCCAAAACGTTTCCAAAATAATCCCCAAAACACCCCAAAATAACCCCAAAACCACCCCAAAATAACCCCAAAAACACCTCAAAATAACCCCAAAAACACCCCAAAATAACCCAAAAACGTTTCCAAAATAACCCCAAAATACCCCAAAATAACCCCCAAAACACCCCTAAAATAACCCCCAAAAACACCTCCCAAAATAACCCCCAAAACACCCCAAAATACACCCCCAAAACACCCCCAAAATAACCCCAAAATAACCCCAAAACGTTTCCAAAATAACCCCAAAATAACCCCCAAAACGTTTCCAAAATAACCCCCAAAACACCCCAAAATAACCCCAAAACCACCCCAAAATAACCCCCCAAAACACCCCAAAAACACCCCCCAAAACACCCCAAAATAACCCCCAAAACGTTTCCAAAATAACCCCAAAAACACCCCAAAATAACCCCCAGAAACACCCCAAAATAACCCCAAAAACACCCCAAAATAACCCCAAAACGTTCCAAAATAACCCCCAAAACACCCCGCAAAATAATCCCAAAATAACCCTAAATAACCCCAAAATAACCCCAAAATAACCCCCAAAACACCCCAAAATAACTCCCCAAAACACCCCAAAATAACCCCAAAAAACACCCCAAAATAACCCCAAAAACACCCCAAGAACACCCCAAAATCAACCCTAAAACACCCCAAAATAACCCCCAAAAACACCCCAAAATAACCCCAAAATAACCCCCCGAGAGCATCGTCCTCAGGAGGGGTGAGAGACTCCAAAAACACCCCAAAATAACCCCAAAATAACCCCCAAAACCACCCAAAAATAACCCCAAAATAACCCCCTGAGAGCATCATCCTGAGGAGGAGTGAGAGACCTCAAAACCACCCCAAAATAACCCCCAAAACATTTCCAAAATAACCCCCAAAAACACCCCAAAATACCCCCAAAAACACTCCAAGATAACCCCCAAAATAACCCCCCGAGAGCATTGTCCTCAGGAGGGGTGAGAGCCCAAAATCAGCCCTAAAGCACCCCAAAATCAGCCCTAAAACACCCCAAAATAACTCCCAAAACACCCCAAAATAACCCCAAAATAACCCCCCAAAACACCCCAAAATAACCCCCGAAACACCCCAAAATAACCCCCTAAAACACCCCCCTGAGACCCCCCCAAACACCACCTGACGCTTTTCTGGGGTCTCCTGACCCTTTTTGGGGGTCCCCAGACTCATTTTGGGGTGCCCTGACCCTTTTTGGGAGCCCCCAGACTCATTTTGGGGTGCCCTGACCCGTTTTGGGGGTGTGCAGACCCCGATGTCCTGGACACCTGGTTCTCCTCCGCCCTCTTCCCCTTCGCTGCCCTGGGCTGGCCCCAACAGGTGAGACCCCAAATGTCCCCCTAAATGTCCCCAAATGTCCCCCTAAATGTCCCCAAATATCCCCCCAAATGTCCCCCCAAATGTCCCCCCAAATGTCCCCCCAGATGTCCCCAAATATCCCCCCAAATGTCCCCAAATATCCCCCCAAATGTCCCCCCAAATGTCCCTGACACCTCCAGGTGACTCTGAGGGTCTTGGGGGGTCTCTGGGAGGGTTCAGGGCAGCTTTTGGGGTTCCCTGGGGGGTCTCTGAGGGTCCTGGGTGGTCCTTGGGGGGTTCTCAGGGTGTGTCCCCCCCATGTCCCCAAATGTCCCCAAATATCCCCAAATGTCCTTGACACCTCCAGGTGACTCTGGGGGGGCTCAGGGCGGCTTTTGGGGTTCCCTGGGGGGTCTCTGAGGGTCTTGGGGGTCTCTGAGGGTCTTGGGGGGTCTCTGGGGAGTTTAGGGAAGCTTTTGGGGTTCCCTGGGGGGTCTCTGAGGGTCCTGGGTGGTCCTTGGGGATCTCAGGGTGTCCCCCCCCCCATGTCCCCAAATGTCCCCAAATGTCCCTGACACTTCCAGGTGACTCTGGGGGGGCTCAGGGCGGCCTTTGGGGTTCCCTGGGGGGTCTCTGAGGGTCTTGGGGGTCTCTGAGGGTCTGGGGGGGGTTTCTGAGGGGGTTCAGGGCAGTTTTTGGGGTTCCCTGGGGGTCTCTGAAGGGTCTCAGGGTGTCCCCCCCCCCCATGTCCCCAAATATCCCCAAATGTCCCCAAATGTCCCCGACACCTCCAGGTGACTCTGGGGGGCTCAGGGTGATTTCTGGGGTCTCTGGGGGTCTCAGGGTGGTCCCTGGGGGTCTCAGGGTGTCCCCCCACGGGTGTCCCACCCTGTGTCCCCCTCCCCTGTCCCCGCAGACCCCCGACCTGCGGCGCTTCTTCCCCTCCTCGGTGCTGGTGACGGGCAGTGACCTCCTCTTCTTCTGGGTGGCCCGGATGGCCATGCTGGGCCAGCAGCTCACCGGCCACCTGCCCTTCCAGCAGGTGTCCCCTGATGTCCCCTGATGTCCCCTGGGGGTCCCCTGATGTCCCCAAGAGTCCCCCGATGTCCCCAAGGGTCCCCTGATGTCCCCCACCCCCCACCCCATTCCCAGGGTTTGTTGGTTCTGGGGGTTCCTTGGGTGTTCCTCGTTGCCTCTTGGGGGTCCCCAAGGGTCCCCTGATGTCCCCAAGGGTCCCCTGATGTCCCCTGATGTCCCCTGGTGTCCCCTGATGTCCCCAAGGGTCCCCTGGGGGTCCCTGATGTCCCCAAGGGTCCCCAAATCCCCCCCACCATTCTTAACGCTTGTTGGTTCTGGGGGTTCCTTGGGGGTTCCTCGTTGCCTCCTGGGGGTCCCCAAGTGTCCCCTGATGTCCCCAAGGGTCCCCTGATGTCCCCTCGTGTCCCCTGATGTCCCCTGATGTCCCCTGGTGTCCCCAAAGGTCCCCTGATGTCTCCAAGGGTTCCCAAATCCCCCACCCCCACCCCGTTCCCAGGGTTTGTTGGTTCTGGGGGTTCCTTGGGGGTTCCTCGTTGCCTCTTGGGGGTCCCCAAGGGTCCCCTGATGTCCCCAAGGGTCCCCTGATGTCCCCTGGGGGTCCCCTGGGGGTCCCAGTGTCCCCAAAGGTCCCCTGATGTCCCCAAGGGTCCCCAAATCCCCCCCACCCCCCACCCCGTTCCCAGGGTTTGTTGGTTCTGGGGGTTCCTTGGGTGTTCCTTGTTGCCTCTTGGGGGTCCCCAAGTGTCCCCTGATGTCCCCAAGGGTCCCCTGATGTCCTCTGGTGTCCCCTGATGTCCCCTGATGTCCCCAAAGGTCCCCGATGTCCCCAAGGGTCCCCAAATCCCCCCCACCCCCCACCCCGTTCCCAGGCTTTGTTGGTTCTGGGGGTTCCTTGGGGGTTCCTCGTTGCCTCCTGGGGGTCCCCAAGTGTCCCCTGATGTCCCCAAGGGTCCCCTGGGGGGGGGGGTCCCTGATGTCCCCCTGGGGGTCCTTTGTCCCTTTTTTGAGTCCTTTTCCTCTTTTTTGGGGGGTTCCTTGTCCCTTCCTGGGGGTCCCTTGTCAGGGTTCCCTTAACCCTTTTGGGGGTCCCTTGCCCTTCCTGGGGGTCCTTTGTCCCTTTTGGGGTCTTTTGTCCCTTTTTTTGGGGTCCCTTCTCCCTTTTCTGGGGTCTTTTGTCCCTTTCTTGGGGTCTCTTGTCCCTTTTTTAGGATCCTTTGTCCCTTTTTTGGGGTCTCTTGTCCCTTCCTGGGGGATCCTCTTTGCCTTTTTGGGGTCCCTTCTCCCCTTTTTGGAGTCCCTTCTGCCTTTTTTGGGGTTCTCTGTCCGTTTTTTGGGGTCCCTTCTCCCCTTTTTGGGGTCCCTACTCCCTTTTTTGGGGTCCTTTTTCCCTTTTTTTGGGGTCCTTTGTCCCTTTTTGAGTATCCCTCCCCCCCCTCCCCCCCCTTTTCCCGCTCCTTTCCCGAGGATCCCACCTCCCCTTTTCAGGGTCCCCTGGGTATCAGGGTGGAGTTGGGGGTCCCACCCCTCAATTTTGGGGGTCCCACCCCTCAGTTTTGGGGTCCCACCCCCCCCCAGGTGCTGCTGCACTCGCTGGTCCGCGATTCCCGGGGTCGGAAAATGAGCAAATCCCTCGGGAACGTCATCGACCCCCGTGACATCATCAGGGGGGCCACACTCCAGGTAACCCCCCCAAAAACACCCCCAACCCCCCTTCAGGTTGTTTATTTGTTTATTTATTTATTTGTTTATTTTTTGGGGGGGGTTTTCCCCGGCAGGAGCTGCAGGAGAAGCTGCGGAGCCGCGTCCTCGACCCCCCCGAGCTCCGAGCGGCCACCGAGGGGCAGGTGGGACCCCCCACCCAACACCTGGGAACCCCCAAAATCCAACCCTGGGGCTCCCCAAAACCTGACCCTGAGACCCCTCAAACCTGACCTTGAGAATCTCCCAAAATCTGACCCTGAGACCCCCCAAAACCTGACCTTGAGTCCCCTCAAAATCTGACCCTGAGACCCCCAAAATCTGACCCTGAGACCCCCCCAAAATCTGACCCTAAGACCCCCCCAAAACCCACTCCTGGGACCCCCAAAATGTGCTCCTGGCACCCCTCAAAATCTGATCCTGAGATACCCCTAAAACTGACCCTGAGACCCCCAAAACCTGACCCTGAGACCCCCCAAAATCTGACCCTGAGACCCCCAAAACCTGACCTTGAGAATCCCCCAAAACCTGATCCTGGCACCCCTCAAAACCCGACCCTGAGACCCCCCAAAATCTGACCCTGAGACCCCCCCAAAATCTGACCCTGAGACCCCCCAAAATCTGACCCTGAGACCCCCAAAACCTGACCCTGAGACCCCCCAAAATCTGACCTTGAGAATCTCCCAAAACCTGACCCTGAGACCCCCAAAATCTGATCCTGAGAGTCTCCCAAAACCTGGCCCTGAAGCACCCAAAGTCTGACCTTGAGAATCCCCCAAAACCTGACCCTGGGAGCCCCCAAATCTGACCTTGAGAATCCCCCAAAATCTGATCCTTAGAACCCCCAAAACCTGACCCTGAGACCCCTCAAAATCTGATCCTGAGATACCGCTAAAGCTGACCCTGAGACCCCCAAAACCTGACCCTTAGATCCCCCAAAATCTGACCTTGAGACTCCCCCAAAATCTGACCTTGAGTCCACTCAAAACCTGACCCTGAGACCCCCCAAACCCTGACCCTGAGACCCCCCTAAAATGCCCCAAATCCCCCAAACCCCTCATTTCCCCCAAAACCCCCGTGATCCCTTCCGAGCCCCTGACCTCCCCCAAACCCCCTCTGTGAACCCCCCAAAACCCCCAAATCCCCCAAACCCCTCTATGACCCCCCAAACCCCTCTATGACCCCCCAGCCCCCCAAATCCCCCCAAACCCCCTCTGTGACCCCCCAGAGGCTGCAGTTCCCACAGGGAATCCCCGCCTGCGGCGCCGACGCCCTTCGCTTGGCCCTGCTGTCCCAGAACTGCCACGGTAAGACCCCCAGAGGGGGAAAAAAGGGGGTCCCTGAGTCCCCCCCCACCCTCAGGGCTGTGGAGACCCCTCTGGGTGTGTTTGGGACCCCCCCCAGGAGCCGAAATCCGGGTGGACGTGGGGGAGGTGCTGAGTCAGCGCCGCTTCTGCAACAAGGTGTGGAACGGCCTGCGCTTCGTCCTGGGGGTCCTGGGGGACCTGGGGGCCGCTCGAGCCCCCACCCCGAGCAGGTAAAAGGGGAGGGGGAAAGGGGACCCTCAGGGACCACCCGGAGCTTGCTGGGACCACCGGGGAGCCCCCAGAACCCACAGGGACCCCCCAGAACCCACAGGGATCCCTAAAATCCAGAGGGACCCTCAGAACCCACAGAGATCACCAGGGACCCCCCAGAACCCACAGGGACCCTCAGAATCCAGAGGGACCCCCAGAACCCACAGAGATCACCAGGGACCCCCCAGAACCCACAGGGACCCTCAGAATCCAGAGGGACCCCCAAAATCCACAGAGATCACCAGAACCCACAGGAACCCCCAAAATCCAGAGGGACCCCCAGAACCCACAGAGATCACCAAGTGCCCTCAGGGACCCCCAAAACCCACAGGGACCCCCCAAAACTCACAGGGACCCTCAGAATCCAGAGGGACCCCTAAAATCCAGAGGGACCTCCTCAGAACCCACAGGGACCCCCAGAATCCAGAGGGACCCTCAGAATCCAGAGGGAGCCCCAGAATCCACAGGGACCCCCCAGAATCCACAGGGACCCCCCAAAACCGACAGGGACCCCCCAGAATCCAGAGGGACCCTCAGAACCCACAGGGACTCCCAGAACCCACAGGGACTCCCAGAATCCAGAGGGACCCTCAGAATGCAGAGGGACCCCCAGAATCCACAGAGATCACCAGGGACCCCCCAGAACCCACAGGGACCCTCAGAATCCAGAGGGACCCCCCAGAATCCAGAGGGACCTTCTCAGAACCCACAGGGACCACCAAGTGCCCTCAGGGACCCCCAGAACCCAGAGGGACCCTCAGAATCCAGAGGGACCCTCAGAACCCACAGGGACCCCCAGAATCCAGAGGGACCCTCAGAACCCACAGGGACCACCAAGTGCCCTCAGGGACCCCCAAAACCCACAGGGACCCCTCAGAACCCACAGGGACTCCCAGAACCCACAGGGACTCCCAGAATCCAGAGGGACCCTCAGAATGCAGAGGGACCCCCAGAATCCACAGAGATCACCAGGGACCCCCCAGAACCCACAGGGACCCCCAGAACCCACAGGGACCCCCAAAATCCAGAGGGACCCCCAGAACCCACAGAGATCACCAGGGACCCCCCAGAATCCCCTGTTCCCATTCCAGGTGGTCTCAGGTTGTCCCATGGAGCGCTGGGTGCTGTTTGATCCCATCCTGATCCCATCCCAATCCCATCCCAATCCCATTCCAGGTGGTCCCAGGGGGTCCCATGGAGCGCTGGGTGCTGTTTGATCCCATCCCAATCCCATTCCAGGTGATCCCAGGTGATCCCATGGAGGGCTGGGTGCTGTTTGACCCCCCCAATCCCATGTTGATCCCATTCCAGGTGGTCCCAGGGGATCCCATGGAGCGCTGGGTGCTGTTTGATCCCCTCCAATCCCATCCCAATCCCATCCCAATCCCATCCCAATCCATCCCAATCCCATTCCAGGTGGTCCCAGGTGATCCCATGGAGCGCTGGGTGCTGTTTGATCCCATCCCAATCCCATCCCAATCCCATTCCAGGTGGTCCCAGGGGGTCCCATGGAGCGCTGGGTGCTGTTTGATCCCATCCCAATCCCATCCCAATCCCATTCCAGGTGGTCCCAGGTGGTCCCATGGAGCGCTGGGTGCTGTTTGACCCCCCCAATCCCATCCCAACCCCATGTTGATCCCATTCCAGGTGGTCCCAAGTGATCCCATGGAGCGCTGGGTGCTGTTTGATCCCCTCAATCCCATCCCAATCCCATCCCAATCCCATCCCAATCCCATTCCAGGTGGTCCCAGGTGATCCCATGGAGCGCTGGGTGCTGTTTGATCCTCTCCAATGCCATCCCAATCCCATCCCAATCCCATTCCAGGTGGTCCCAGGGGGTCCCATGGAGCGCTGGGTGCTGTTTGACCCCCCTAATCCCATGTTGATCCCATTCCAGGTGGTCCCAGGGGGTCCCATGGAGCGCTGGGTGCTTTCCCGCCTGGCTGGGGCCGTCTCCGAGTGCTGTGACCGCTTGGATTCCCTGGAATTCCACGGGGCCCTGGCGGCCGTGCAGCACTTCTGGCTCCGCAGCTTCTGCGACGTCTTCCTGGTGGGTGAGACCCCCAAAATCCCCCCCTTTCCTGGAGGGGGTCTCCAGCCCCTTTTGGGGCTCCTGGGTGGCCCCAGATCCCCCTTTTCCATGTGTCGTGTTCCCATTTTTGGGGGTCCCTGTCCCCGTTTTTGGGGGAGTCCTTTGTGCCTGTTTTGGGGGTCCCACCCCGCATTCTGGGCATCCTTGTGCCCATTTTGGGGGTCCCTATGCCCATTTTAGGGGTCCTAGCCCCCATTTTTGGGGTCTCTGTGCCCATTTCTGGGGGTTCCTGTGCCCATTTTAGGGGTCCTAGCCCCCATTTTTGGGGTCTCTGTGCCCATTTCTGGGGCTCCCTGTGCCCATTTTAGGGGTCCCAGCCCCCATTTTAGGGATCCTAGCCTCCGTTTTGGGGGTCCCAGCCCCCATTTTAGGGTCTCTGTGCCCATTTCTGGGGGTCCCTGTGCCCATTTTAGGGATCCCAGCCTCCATTTTGAGGGGTGCCAGCCCCCATTTTAGGGTCTCTGTGCCCATTTCAGGCCCATTTTGGGGGTCCCAGCCTCCATTTTAGGGGTCCTAGCCCCCATTTTTGGGTTCCCTGTGCCCATTTTAGAGGTCCCAGCCTCCGTTTAGGGGTCCCAACCCCCATTTTAGAGTCTCTGTGCCCACTTCTGGGGGTCCCTGTGCCCATTTTAGAGGTCCCAGCCCCCATTTTAGGGATCCCAGCCTCCATTTTGGGGGTCCCAGCCTCCATTTTGGGGGGTCCCAGCCCCCATTCCAGGGGTCCCTGTGCCCATTTCTGGGGGTCCC